CACCAAGTGTACTGGCTTTTTTGAAGTTCGTTCCTAGGTGCATCTGCTTTGGTATTTGGGAACTGAAATAGCTAGTTTGAATTTGTTAATTCCATTCTGAGGGCCAGGCACCTCTAGGTTGGGCATGGGACATACCGGATTGCAGTAGTTAGACCCAAATTCAGACAGGGACTTTAGTGAGCATGCAGTGAGGAAATGTACATCAGGCACAGTATACATGATATTTTACCGTTGCATGTAATTTCATGTTGTAGAGATTTTTGAAAGGTTGGGGAAAATGTGGAGACCCTGTCTCTTTAAATTCATCAGTGCAGCAGCTATTGGTTTGTCTAGTCAATTGCTCTGTTTGACGTCAGTGGGAGGCTGTCATTTGAAGGGTTTATTTCTGTGTTTCTCTTGTCATCATGAAACAAGCAGGGAGGTCTTTGGGTCTTTGTTTGTCGGGAGATGCCACTTCTGAAGGATAGAGGTTTCACTCAAAACCTGAACTGAAGATTGGGCAGGGGAGAAAAGACCTTCAAAACTGCTAATAGCAACGCAGGTATTGTCATAGCAGATTAAATGGTTAGTTCATTTTGCGCAGTTGATCTCTGACACTTCAAAAGAAGGGCTGTTTTTTCCTAACAAATAATCAGGGACAAAGATGCAAATTGAGGGAAATTATTTTTTTGCCTTTGCTGCAATGAAAGGCCAGTTTTTACTTGTTTGTAACAGTTATTAATTCATCTATCTACAGACTGCAGATAGATGAAGACAGATTCTTTCTTGCCTCTCTGCTTGCAGTTTTATCTTACAAGATCCTGCACAACTTTTATTTTTTCAAGGCAGGAGGGGCACAGAACACAGATGTTTCTCTTAACTCCTCAGGCCAAAGGACATTTGTGGTTTACCAGTGGAAAGCAAGTATGCGCATATACCAGGCTTCATTTCAGCAAGTAAGACTTGATTAGAGATACCAACTTAACCAGTTTCATTGCAGATATTTGTGGTTTGAATTATTATGGAAAAATCTGAATGATCTTAAAATATTTGTCTTATTATCATTATTATTGTTTCCTTTCTTTACTTTTGTAATCACTTGCCTTTTACATGTCTGGTTCAGATCCCTGGGGAATTTTCAAGGGCAATCTTTCTCTACATTCAGTGGACAACAAAAAAGCAAAGCCAAATAATCTTGGGTCTTCCAAGGCCTGATCCTGTTTGTCTATGTTTTCATTTCAGGCATACTGAAAGGCATTTGGGGCTCAGGCCGTGGCCTGAGTTCCTTTTGCCTCTATCGACTATGTGATGTTGGGGACGGTTTTAGTCTTGTCTACCTGACATCTATCATGTGACCTCAGTGCTGAGAAGATAGAATAGCTGCAACTTGCCCTGTTGAGCACAGTTGCTTTTCTTCTTTAGCATACAAATTAAGATATCTCAAAGCTTGCCCTGAAGGCAGGCTTATAGGTGAGAATAAAAAGTGGTATTTAAGTCCTCCCCAAAGCCATAGACAAAGTCAAAACTGTCACTGGCTTGATTCAGATCAAGAGTGGGTTTGAAGAAGAACAGATGTGAGGGGGATCGAGGATGTGATCCTGAGGCATGTAAAATGCTCCAGATAAAGTACAGAATTTCTGATGCTTTGAAATTATGGTTTCAGCCAGCTACACTGGATTAAAAACAGAAAAAAAAAATCACAGCTGAACATTCATATAATTCAGATTACCCATTTGTAAAAGGAGGGGTTCCCGCTTCCTCAAACACCTTATTGTTCAAAGAAAGACTCTAGAATTTGCTTTCACCTTTTAAAATGAAAGATCATTCAAATCAGTATTAGTTTATACGAAACTGATGTTGCTAAACAATACTTTGGTTTTTCTAAACTTACTTTTTAATTCAAGTCATAAGAGTTTTCAGTAGAAAAACTAAAACATTTGTAGACATTAAACATTATGAAGAAGGAGGCCCACACATCTGGACGTTAACTGCATTACAGTTTCAAGTAACAGATATAATTCAAAAGCAGGAGGGCTTTTTCCAGGTCAATGGAAAGCAGCAGCATAACTGAAATAAAGCGGCAAGCTGGTACTAATCTGTTATTGCAATCAGCTACCTCTGTCACATTTATATGAAGAAGAAAGGGGGGAGAAATTGAAAGTAGCACATAAAATATTGTCTTAACATTACACTGGCTAGATCTGTAAATGGAAATAATAAATCCTTGTATGGCATTGAGGATAATACTAACATATTCGCACTAGCATGTGTTATATACAGCTATTCTAAAGTTTTATTTCTTCTGTTTATGTCCCCTTCTTTTTGAAGGGGTTGGGCCTCATGTGTTGCTCATATTTAGCTATTCTTATACCCACAAATCTTGCTGTTAGCCAAGTTCTACAGTAATTAGAGATAAATATGATACTAGAAAGTGAAATAAGGATTGCATAATAGACTGTGAAGGTAAGACAAACAAATGTTCATAAAGTATTGAAATTAAAATCTATGGAGCAAAAATGTTTGAAATCACTTCTAAATGAGCTTAGAAGTGGAGAGCAGTGGATATATCTTTACATTTATCGTCTCTAGAGCTGCTTAGATATTACGAGAATAGACATTTTTAGCATCACAGCTTTTATATACTCCTTGTTTTTCATGTAAGATCTTGACATTTGAATAAAACATTGAGGTGAAAGCATAAGTACAATTTGCATTACTTTGGTTTTTAACGTGCAAGAGTAACATGCAAATTGAATGCATTAATATCAGTTCCTGAACTTCCTGATGGGTTTGGTCCAAGTCCGTGCTGCTGTTAGCAGAAAAACTCTCACCGATTTCTCTTTGCATTATATCTGATTCAAAATGTGCTTATTGTTCAAAGTGCAGAAAGCACTAATTTATTTTGGCTGTCTGAAACACTTCCATTTCTTGCCTAGTTAGCCTGTGCTCCCCAGTTTTGTCTTTCCTGCTGACGGAAGCTTAGAGAAAAATTCCGAAGATGATTCTGATTTATCCTTGGAAGTGACTTACTGCTGGTATTTTTAGGGAACCATCTTTAGCAAGCTGTGCTCCTTTCTTTAAGTACTAAAGCGAGGTGCCTCCATTAGATGACTGATCTAGCCGAAAGTTTCGGTTTCTCCTGGTCTCCGAGTAGATCTTTGTAATTCTATGCAGCAATGCATAGATGAGTGTGCTTAGCTTAAAGCACAAGCAGTCCTGTTGATACTGTTAGAACCACTTGTGTTTAAAGTTACAAGCAGGTGTATGTTGTGTGCTATATGAAGGCTTTAATTTCTGCAAACTATCTAATGGGACCGTGTGAGTCAAAATCCGTGCTGTTTTCTGTCCTTTCACTTCTGTGCCTTCTGGTCCTTTTGGTGTACAGTGTCTTAAGTAAAAAGGGATTCTGGTTCTTTTTAGCTGTTTTTGTGTTGGGGCCAACCTCCTGTGACAGCTGGAAAGTTTTTTGGCATGACTTGAATAATCTCGGGAGCTTGTGTGAAGGTATACTACGTACACGTATGAAGACAGTCGTAAACATGATCTCTGCAAATATTTCCTCAGCGGGAGCCAGCGCCAAACCATAGGCTTCATGGCTCTGATAGCATGGTTCTGTATTTAAGCTTACAAGCTTTGCTGAGAACACAGAGTACTGCTGTGCTAAGAAACTGGTCTCATTGGCTTGGGTACAGTGCACGATAATGCATCTTTCTTCTGCTGGCTTAGAGTTGTTGCACATCCAGAGACTAATCCTGGCTTTATGATTGTGATTTTATAAATAAGTTATGTGTATATATATGTTATTTTCATCTCCTCTTATGGGAAAAAAAAAAAAATGTAGTCCTGCTAATCCTTCTGTGCCCTGGCTGACCTGAACTTGTTTTCCTAGAGACTGTTGTCCAGATCTACGCTCAGTGCCAAAGGTGACGGCCTAGTACAGTCACATTAATTCATCCCTTTGGAAATACCTTGCCTAATTAATTTGAAAGGATGTCTTTTTACTCTCTCGTGGGCTCACCATTATTGATGGATTGTGCTAATATTGTGACTAGTGAATTTACCTGAATCTTTTTTTTGTCCTGTTTCCAGCTGATGAGCTCACAAGTTATGGAAGAAAAGTATACGTTAAAGTTCCTAAATGCATGAACACTGTGGTGGTATAGTTGTACCCCGTTTCCACTGCTCAGTCCACAGGGTGAGACCTGCTCACCCAGGTCTTCCTTGCTGCTCTTTTAATCCTTCTCCGTACAGAAAATGCATCAATATTTTGTGTCATCTGTTAACCCCACCTGCACACACCTCTCTTTCCTCAGCTGTTGTTTTAGTAGGAAATGTCGTTTCCAAAATTCACACTTCCGAACTGCAGCAGAACAGCAGGTTGCTGTATGTCCCCATGCCAGTTTTATATCTTGCTATTCTCACCATGTTCCCTTGTTCTTTGACTTAAATAATCATTTTGCATGTGGTGCTGTCTTGGTGGTTTTATTGCAGTAAGGATAAATGAGAGCTATAGTATTTCCTGATCTGAAAAATCAGTTATCATATCAAAGATATAAAACACAACTGGCATAATTTACTTTTGGTAAACTCATGACACATTTGATCCAATTTTCCAATTACTTCAAAGATTTTTATTATCTTTCCTCATTAATTTATACTAAGTATTACATTTTTTAAAAATGCACGAACTTTCAGTTCATGAATCACTACCCATCCCTCTCAAATTCCTAAATGAAAGAGTTACCTTTATTTTCTTCTCGACAAAGTCGAGATAGTAAATGCTTACGAAGGTGGCCTAAAGGGAAACTTTAGTTTGTTTTCCATCAGCCTTGATGAAATGCTTTCCTAGCTTTTCTACGGTCACTTTACATTTTTCCGTGCATTTTAGTCAGCGTCAGAATCGAGTCAAGATTGATACTAACGTCTAGGTACTACACCATTCTCTAAGCAGAGCCAGAAGGTGAATTCTGTTTCAATTTGTTTGTATGATCAGATCTGCTCTTTAAGAAGTGTAGATATTCATGTATCTTTTCATTGTTTTTCAGAACAATGGATCACTTGCTTGGTGCCAGAATCATAAACAGTGTTCAAAGGTATGTTCTTCTCCCCTCTCCTTGTTTACCAAGTTATCTGGTTGCTTTCAACCTCTTATATGTAAATTTAAATGTTTTTCATCTTAACCTGTTTTCTGAAGCATCTGATTGTATTTTATTTGGAAACCTTGACCAAATAAATATTTATTATAATAAAGTATCCAAAATTAACACTAAATGATTTACTCTTTTAGAACAAAGGAATCATGTCTGAGGATCAGTATTCAGTTTAGGCAAGCCAATGTAATTCTGTGGTTATCAAAAAAAACTTCACGCTGGCTGAAATCTGACCTATCATTTCTATTCTTTCAGTATTTTTGAACAGAAGAGAGGAAAACTGTCAAATACGTTAAAATATTCCCCAGGCAGCGCTGGGTATGCCAGCGTTCCACATTTCAGTCAATTTGGGTATTTAATTTCTAGAATGACACTTAATTTCTTTGATGCAATTCTTGATACAAATCCCCGTGGCTCTGCTGATGCCCTCTCCTATGCTGGCTCTTTAACCCTGAAAGCTTAAAGGGTAGGTGAGGTAGCAGTCAACTGATTGTAGTGTACCAGACTCTTTCCAGGGTGCTTGGAGAGAAGCAACAATGCTTCAGCGGCTTTGGCAAATCAAAGTGGAATTACACATTGTAGTCACTGACTGCTACCTTCATAAACATAATGGAAGATGCATCCACTGCTTGCCTTAGAAGCTTACCTGAAAATTGTGAAGAATGCATAGTAAGGAAAGAAAGTATTCAGAGTTTCCTAAGTATCTTTGCCTAATCTTCCTGAAAATGTATTCCCACAATTGAGTCGTTTTAACATAAATGTTTACTTTTTATTTGGTGATGGATGTATTGTAAATGGGCTTTAATCCATGTAGTGCTATTCAATATTGTTTTCTTAATGTAATTTGTGTAAATGCTGATGTTAACCCTTGTTTTTAACACATGGCAACCTCTTCTATATAGAATTTCTTATACAGAATGCTTCTATATAGATTTTTTTTTATACAGAACGCTTCTATATAGAAGCATAACATCAGCATTTAAAGAGTGAGGTTATTGACTCACTGATAGTCTAATCTAGTTTAATTTGAAGTAAATGGGACTGGAAATGGACTAATTCATTACTGACTATGCCATTGCAGAAAAATAAAACAAAGTTGATCACTTTTGCCAGTATTAAAAACAGGGTATGACCATGTGAGTAGAAGAAGAGAATGGAACAGTTCGTATCAGCTCTGCCAAGCTCCTAAGGGTTGCAACGAAATCTCATCATTCATAAAAAACAAAACAAAAAACCCAAAGAGGTGCAGAGGATGTGGTTTATCGTAACTAAATTTCTTTCTAAGGAAAGTGTGGGGATTGTGCCCCTTACTGCAGCGATCCAGATGTAATTTTCTTTTTTCTTCAGTTATCAAGGCTGCCATGGTATCTAATCTGAAAGGTTTCCCAATGGCTTATTTTTGACTAACGAGGAAGGAATCATACAAGAGAATTTGTCCAGCTTCTCAGGCAGGGCAAAGGTTATATTAACATCTCTCTGAGTCACTCCAAGTTCATAGAATCGACATAAGATTAATCTTAAGTAGTATGAATTTAAGGAATACCTTTGGATTGTATTACTCTTGAAATCAGTATATGAATGCTGCAAGTCAGGATTATTTTAAAATTGAAAATGCAATGACTGTTAAGTTTTAAATTACTTAATGTATCCTTTACAGCCATCATACCTTATGTTTTCATTCTTTCTTAGGAAGGTAATGCATTTTCCTTATGATAGCCACTTTGCCATCTTTAGAAAAAGAAATAAATGTAAACTTGGCTGAATTGTTAGCTGAACTGGATATGAGCAGAACTAAGGAACATATGTTTATGACAAGATTTAGTCTTTTGTGTTTTGCAGTGTAAAAGTGAATGGTCACATTACACAAACTTTGAGTAATGCAGTGGATTGAGTTAAACTTTAAAAAATAAAAATGCAACTTCCTTTCAGTGTTTCTGAACTTTAGATGAAAGTAATGTTGTTAAATATGACTTTTTTTTGGAAGATTGCTCCACCTTTTATTTTTGTGCTTGTAATATGTAGTGACACAGCCTTTTGAGGTGTCTGTGGTACAGTACAGATGACAGCATATGTCCAGCTACTTTGTTAGCAGTGGGTCTCTGTGAAACAGAGAAGCACCTTTAGTCAGCACAAATATTTGAGTCTGATACATAGTGAAGAAATTTTATTTGAAAATTGCATCAATTAAACAGTAGCTGATAAAACAATAAAAGATTAGGTGCTTAATTTAGTAACTTTTTATTATTTTCTTATTTCATAATGGGAATTACAAGATGGAAAAGGCACAGTGGGTTATGCAGATCTCTCTACTTACTTGTAACATAACCAATCCAAATCATATTTTAGAAGCATTTTCTTTATTTCCAGGATATAAAATAGCCTCTAAAAGTAGAAGCCCTGGATTAGGAGATGGAACTATGAAAAGTAAACATCAGCATAAAGCATCCAATAGATGTAGATTGGTTTTTCATGTGTCTTCTGCTCATTGCAAAGACATCTGATCTATTTTGGCTTCAGTTTGCTTAAAGCTGAAACTGATCTGGCAGAAAGCTGTTCTGACGTCTCTCTCCATTATCCTCTGAGAATGAGATCAGTCCAGTATGAAATTCTGTGTAAATCTTGTGGCCACGATCTTGTACATATCAGTACAAGAATATAGCAGGGAATATATGAGTATACTATCATACTAGGAAAAATAATTTTTTTTCCGTATTGAAGTCTGTACTCCTTACATGTAAAGGACACTTCTGTAGTTGAAGACAGCTGTTGTTAAAATGTTGTACAAGTTTATTTTGTCAGTTAAGCAACTCTAAAGTAAATTCAAATTATTGTAACAGTACCCCCTAATACAAGTGTAGACAACAATTCTGTTGGTTTGAAAGTGAATACCTTTGAGAACCACTAATTTTTCAGAGAGATAAATATAATGAACTAAAATGGTTATAGCTCTCACAGGAACAGTTGTACATTGCTACCTACATCCCAAATGGCTATTTATTTTTGTTATTTTCATGGAGCAAGTCACAAAAGCATGACTATAAGCAGCAAGATATGCCCCGATGCCTTTATATGTATAATTTAATTTAATGCGACCTCTCCAGTGGCCTATTTCACAAGATAAAACTAGAGGGAGCTCTTGAATGCTTGCCCTGTTAGACATCAGATAGGTAATTTCGGTATGTTAAAAATACTCTATTAATAATCATTAGGATAACTCTAGGTTTGATCATTAAATAAAATGCCATTTTTCTTTGCGGTACTTATGTATTTACTGCCATGATGAGCTCCTCGCTCTTTATCTGTGCTTCTACTGACTTCTTTGGAAGACCGAGGGCTTTCTTGGGGTCTTATCAATTCCCGAGTTGACTTCCACTGCAAATATGAATATTGAGGTAAACTTGGACAATGTAGACTTGATCTTGCACTGCAGTCAGTGAAGTTTTTCATGAACTTCTTTGAAAATAGATTCAGAACCAGAAGTTTTTTCTCTCTAATTTTGTGCACATTTCTATTATTTTGGTCTAGAGTGTGCCCTCTATAGTATTTTGTAGTCTGTCTTTTTTATGTTTTGTTGTTTTGTATCCTGTTCATTTTTCTTTTCTTTTTTTTTAACTCTCGTGTGGTCTCAGAAGAGTAAGAATTTTTATAGAAAGTGAAGTTGAATGGAGCAAACAAATCCTTATTTTTTAGTCCTGTAATTAGGGTAGGTATCTAGTGTATTTCAATTTCCTTTAGTCCCTAAAAAGATTATACGTTGACACTGAAGTCTTCCAACAGCTTTATCCAGGCGAGAAGTGTTTGATATCGTTGGTTAGGTTTAAAAAAAATGCTTTAGGGTTATTATACTTACAAACTACATTTTAAGTGACAATGTTCTATTTATATGTTGACTAAAACAGTGAATATTAATTCGGTAACTATTTAGTTTTGAAATTGGGTCTTTTAACTTCTTATTATTTAATATATTCAACAGTAAGTTCAGTCTTGAAAACTTAGTGGCTTTTTCTTTAGAAATAATTTAGGGATTGCTATGGCGTGGTATATTTTAGGACCTGCTTTTCTTTATATTCTGAGGTTCCATTCAGATTTGGTGTAGATAGTGAATGTTAAACAAATAGCATTTCTTTTCTTTTGCTTTGTTCTATAGTAGATTACTGACAGTCTGTTAAGAGTTGCTGAATATTGCAAGGATGGGCTCATAAGCAACAGCAGACGAAAGTGGAACTGCAAATTGGAGAGACGGAGAAAAGGCAAAATGGGCTGGGTTGGATTGGGGTTAGTATTTCTTCATACATAGTTGTCAGACCAGCACCAGGATCTTAGTCCTCTCTACCCATTACTGGACATCATGTGCGTCAAAAGCTTGTTTGGGGAGAGAGCCAGGCAGGTAAAACTGTCTCTTCTTTCTTCCACACACGTGACTACATCCTAACCCAGCTCCTCATGCCAACAGCTGGCCCAGCAGAGAAATAGGAAAACAGAAACTCTTGTTATATCTATTTTTGGGTTGGGAGGAGACAGTAAACACTGGAATCTGAAAGGTACAGGATAACTTTGCCAGCTAGACTTATGCCTTACATCACAGAAAGGTGTTTAGGCTTCATATTACAATTAAAATATTTTAATTCTTATAATCTATAGGCTATCTTAAAAAAACAAACACACACACCTCTGACTCAGGTTAAACGTATGAGTAAACAAATTAAATCTGTGTCAGTCTTCTTCCTTTCCCTCTTCTATTAGTAATATTTTCTCTCAAATCCCATACTCTGAGCTGTCTAAGTGATTATTTTAGTGTTACATGGTACAGGTTATATACGTGAAGAAGTAATGTATGTACTGATCTCATCTAACATAAAATAATCTAATCTCTTATTTCAATTCAAAGAGTCCAAATTATTTTCAAAGCAGGTATTTAATCTGCTTTGATACATCTTTGTCAC